GGGACATATTTATCACGCACTATTACCAAACATTCACCTACAGTGAATCATTTCCTGAATATAAAAACACATTTACCAGGAAGATTCACCTGTATGGAATTTTTAGTAAGTGCCACATTAACTGCTTTTTAAATATGTCCCTACAAATTTTATGAAAGCAAAGGAAATGTAAGGGTAATATCATACCAGGACCCATTTGAAGTTATTTAGTTAGTCTGGCTGAAAAAAGGCAAAAGTCCATCCAGTTCAACCATTAAAAAAAAAAAGTTAGAATCCTATACCCACAGCTGATCCAGAGGAAGGCAAAAAAAAAACATCAAAGCATGATTCAATTTGCTCTTGCATGGAAAAAAAAATTCCTTCCTGATCCCCAGAGTGTCAATCGGATATTCCCTGGATCAACTTTACCTTTAAATGTTAGTATCCAGTTATTTTCTGTGTATCCAAGAAAAACTCTAGGTCTTTTTTAAAGCAATCCACTGAGCTGGCCAGAACCAACTCCTGAGGGAGTCTAATCCACATTTTCACAGCTCTCACTGTGAAGAAACCTTTCCGTGTTTGGAGATTAAATTTCTTTTCCTCCAGATGTAAAGAGTGTCCCCTTGTCCTCTGTGATGACCTCAGGGGGAATAGCTCTACACCGAGTTCACTATATGAACCACTGATGTATTTTATACATGTTGATCATATCCCCCCTTAATCTCCTTTTCTGAAGAGATAATAAATTCAGTTCCTCTAATCTTTCCTCATAGCTGAGCACCTCCATGCCTCTTATCAATATAAAAAAAAACCTTTTTGTGATACGATAAATTCCCAAATTAAATTCAAAATCCTAAATATAGCAAATAATATAATATAGATACACCAAATCAAAATAGTCCAATGTGAAATCCAAAAATATGTCCAAAATACGTCCAAAATAAGTCCAATACAGTGTCCAAATTTCAACCTTTTTCTCCAAATATGAAAATTATTCCTCCAAACACGTACCTCGAGAAATAAAAATAAACAATCTAGTGCAATTCAATTAATTAAATTGTATTTTATACAGGGTTGAGTTTACTGGGAAATTGTTCATCAGCTCTGCTGCATAGATGAGTACATTGCAAACTGGTTTTAATAACATTTGCATGGTTGACCCTGGCTTGCCCATCTCCTGGTGGGGCATACTTAAGGACTTGGTACTAACACACAGCTAATTCCATCTGCACCATCAGGAGCTCTGAAGAACACCAGTTAGTACTTAGACTCAGCACCTCAGACCATTTATCTTTCTGAGGACCTGGAAAATATTCTTAAAGAAGATTTTTGGAGGATTACTGATCCATAATGTTGGTAGAGCTCTTATAACATTCACAGGGGGTAATAGTATTTGGTACTATTGTGTGGTGGTTGAAGGTATTCACTGTGTAGCAGTGATCACAGAGTGTGCACACTTTGGATTGATGTGTTTTATGCACTATTACAAAATAAGATTGGTAAAATTTAATTCAAATATATATATATTATTATTTTTTTTTTTTTTTTTTCACAAATTGATAATTTTTGCAGTGAAGTGTGGAGTTTCACGGGGTGATTTTCTTTAATTAATTGAATTACGTTGAGGGGGACAGATTCTCATAGGAGACAGATTTTCATGCTACACCAGTCTTCAGGGCGGACTGTGAGAGGAGCCTAGCGGGAGCTTAGCTCCGCGGGCTGGATTAAAAGGTCCGCCGGGCCGTATACGGCCCGCGGGCCGTAGTTTGCCCATTGCTGTCCTAGGCCATAGAGATGAGGGGAGGCCACCGTTCCTCTGCTCATCTCTGTTGCCAGCCAGTTCTGGATCAGTTCCTGGGCTTCCCGATAAGCGTGAGATCCATCAGAAAGAAGCGGGAGGGGTTGCTAATCAGCTGCTCAGATCACTTTTAGGAGAAAGAGCGGCGCCTGAGGAAAATTTTAATAATGGGGTTATGGCATCTAGCTGCAGCCATAACCCCGGTATTGAACATCAGACTAATGATGTATTTGTGCCTGTACTATTCAGGAAAACGTAGACTGCTATTTGTGAATTTACCTCATTGTATACCCTGACTGCTACTTCTGCAGTGCCATTTTTATGCCATTGCAATGTATTGTCCTTACTTGACCTGTCCTATGTTCAAAATCTCAATAAATATTTTTACCGGAGGCTGCAGCAGTTAGATCCTGGTAAGCATACATACAGCTCTACATGTGGAGAAGGAGGGTGGAACCTGTTAGATCACAGCAAAGGGGCCCAAAATTTTGTTTTAAAGTGCCCTTTAAGGGCATTATAGCTTGGAGAAAAACTGTGGTGCTCCCTTACCCTTGGTGCCCTAACCACGTGCTGATTTTGCTTAATGGTTAATCTAGCCCTGTCTCGAACCCTGTAGCCATACGTCTTTATTTTTTTGCATTAGAACTCTAAAAGCCTGACTATATACAATAACAGCATGCAAAGTGTAGTAATCCATCTGATTAATGTCTAGTGTAGTCATATTTATTTATTTCAGGTACTTATATAGCACTGTCAATTTTACACAGCACTTTACACACATATATATTGAACATTCACATCAGTACCTAACCCTCAAGGGGTGTACAATCTAAGGTCCCTAACTCACATTCATACATACATTAGGGCCAATTTAGACAGGATCCAATTAACCTACCAGCATGTCTTTGGAGTGTGGGAGGCAGCATGTCTTTGGAGGTTTGGAGTGTGGGAGCACCCGGAGAAAACCCACACAAGCACAGGGAGAACATGCAAACTCCATGCAGGAGGCGCCATGGTTGGGAACCCATAACCCATTTACTGCAAGGCAGACGTGCTAACCACTTAGCCACTGTGCCGCCTAACAGTGTACACTTCATACATTCATACTTCATCAGGTTCTGCATGTAACATATCATTATTAAACTTTATGCTGCTTTAGCAAAAGGAGAATTCCATCTTATGCAAACAACATGGAAGTGCCTATACTACAATTTGCAAAGTTTGGCCAATGACGTTAAAAATAATCATGGCGATTTACTAAAGAAGTAGAGGCTGTTCACTTTGTGAATTAAATGTTAGTGAAAATGCTTCCAATGCTCAATTGCATGCTACCAAAAATCCATTTTTTTTTAAATTTACTGCGCACTTGATTGATTATCAAAGTGAACAAAGGTTCTCCTTAATCACAAACATTTACTTTGCAAAGTAAACATACACTTTCCACCAAGATCATTCACAATAGTATTTATTCCTTTAGCAGATCAACACTAAACTACTGTATATCTAAAGCTATACCTTTTATATCATTTGATTTTATATAGGATTAACAATTGTTTATCCAGCAAAGTGAGTGTTCACTTTGCAAACTGAATGTTAGTGAATCGGGTGAAGCTGTGATTCCTTTGAATACTCTGTTATGTGTAAGGGAGATAAACAGGATTTTTTTTTCTACAACATGATATATTAAAGTGAACACAGCTTCACCATAGTCACTAATATTCACTTTTTAAAAGTGAATATTGACTTTGCTAGGTAGCCATCTTCTATGTTTTTCAGTAAATCAACCCCAGTAGGTAAGTGGTGGGTGTAAAATATTCCAGCTCTTGTGATTTTCTGAGCCACGAATCACATATACTGGCATTATCTATCTTTGATTCCTGCAACCAGCTTCTGTGCCAAATATTATTTTTTAGGCACATGCAAGTCTAGGAGGGAGTCTCTACATGTGCAGACATTCAAGATTTAGGTTTGGGTTCTGCAAGTGGACTTCCCTCTGATTTACAGTTTTTTAAACAAGAGATTGGGAATGCAGAGAGTTATTTTGCTACATATGCAATGCCCCTCACACCAGTCCAGTATGACATTTAATCCCCAATTATGAAAGAGGAAATTTACTTGGCCGTTTAAAAATTAAAAGTCAGTAGCTACAAATACTGTAGCTGCTAACTTTTAAAAAACAGATACTTACCAGCTGAGTATTTTAAGGACTTTGGATCTTTGGTGCCGAAATCCTGCTTTAGGGTGCCGACTGTCACTTCCTGATGACTAGCAGTTGGCTTCCCAAAACGTGCAAGCCTGAGAAGCTTCTGGCTTGGTAAGTGGGTTGTGGGGGCGCATATGTGGGCTGAGGCAACGTCATCTTCTCCTAGGCAGGGAAAAAGAAATAGGCACATGTACTGTCAAAAAAGGTACTCACTCCCCATAAAAAAAAAACAAGGGAACAAAAGAAGAGAGGCAAATTTCATTTTCAGGTGAAGGTCTGCTTAATTACAAGATGACATGTGCAAAATAGTTTTAGGAGCATTAAGGTTTAATTATAGACCTTAATGCTCCTCTCCTTTTGAGAGGTTATCTGAAGATATCGAAAATAAAAGCATAATACATTTTTATTATTATTATTACTTTTATTATACATGATTTATATGGCACCAACCGTTTATGCAGCGCTTTACAACAAAAGGGCATACAGTACAATTACAATGAAAATTAATACAGGAAGATTCAGAGGGCCCTGCTCATTAGAGCTTACAATCTAAGAGGGAGGGTCGAGAGATACAAAAGGTAATAACTGTGGGGGATGGGCTGATGGACAAATTACATGTACAGTTGTTAGTTGGGTGCAGGATAGGCCTCTTGGAAGAGATGAGTTTTCAGGGATCGTATAAAAGTGGACAGAGATGGAGGTAGTCGGACACATTGGGGAAGGGAGTTCCAGAGGATGGTAGCGGCTCTGTAGAAATCCTGAAGGCTACCAAGGGAGGAGGTGACAAGGGAGCTAAACTGATTTACTAAAGGACTGGAAAAACTTCACACAATACATTTCAACTTCAATTATCCAGTCATGTGCAGATAAAGTAAGGAAATAAGAATTTGCGCAATTTATTGTTTGAAAATGTTATATTCCTTTAACCACATCCCCACCACCATAGAGCAGATATACTGCTACAGGCTGTCAGGGGTGCACAAAATCATACATGATTTTGTATTTCCGGGTAGTGGGCGCGTGATTACCCACTGGCGCCCAGTGATTACCAAGGATCTCCGATGGGGAGGAGGGCTGCTTTGTTTACTAAAAGTCCTCCTTCCTGTCGGCTCGGGCATACTGCTCTGGATGGCTGTACACAGCCATTAAGACCAGTGTGCTTACAGTGAAGCACCAAACACACCGCCCCCAGTAAAACACTCCCAGCACACAGTTAACCCTTTTATCGCCCCTCATGTTAACCTCTTCCTGCCCAGTGTCATTAGTAGTGTGAGTGCTTTTTTTTAGTACTGATCACTGTATCAGTGTCACTGGGGATGTCAGTGACACCAAGTCAGTTCCCCCCAGTGCCAGAATGCCCGCCGCAGTCCCGCTATAATTCGCTGATCGCTGCCACTTTCACGTAAACCAATTAATTTACATGGGGTATTTTTGTAGCAAAGACATATAGCAGAATACATTTTGTCCTAAATTTATGACGAAATTTGTTTTTTTAATTTCTTTTACTGGACATGTTTAATAACAAAAAGTCCAAAATATTGTGTTTTTTTTTTCAAAATTGTCGGTCTTTTTTTTATAGCGCAAAAAAATAGAAAATGCACAGGTGATCAAATACCACTGAAAGAAAGCACAATTCATGGGAAAAAAATGGACGTAAATTTCATTTGGGTGCAGCGTTGCATGACCATCGGAGATCCTCAGTAATCACCGGTCGCCGGCGGGTAATCACCGCCCTGGACAGCAGGACGATTGGTGTGGTGGGGGAGAGCAGTTGCAGAAGGATGCACTGTGTATCTCTCCCTCCAGCAGCTGAAAGTCTGCTGGAGGGAGAGACAGACCTGGCTGGATGGAGGGGGTACCCTGGTGTTCCTGAGTGGTCGCTCTCCGCCAAGTTCCTTTCCCTGCCCACACTCAGAGTTGGAACCAGGGGACAGCCTGGAGCAGGGAGAGGAGAAGTGGTGGAGAGGAAAGAGCCCGGAGGACGTGAGCTGTGATGTGTTCTCTGGACTCTTTCTCCTGTCACCCATCCAGCACATGATACATAGTCACTGACAGATCATATGGCACTGCACACACAGTATGGTTACCACCCCCTGCCCACATTTCCTGCTACCTGGAGATCAGCAGCCCTTGGAGGAGGTGTGTGTGTGTGTGTGGGGGGGGGTAATCATACTGTGTGTGTGTGTGTGTGTGTGTGTGTGTGTGTGTGTAGTCACATACAATCTGAGAGAGAGAAGAGAGAGGGGAGAGGAAAGAGAGAGGGAAAAGAGAGAGAAGAAAGGGAAGAGAGAGAGAGAGAGAAAGGGGAGAGAGAAAAGAGAGAGGAGAGAGAGGGGGATAGAGGAGAGAGGGAAGAGAGAGAGGGGGGGCAGAGGAGAGAGGGAAGAAAGAGAAGGAAGAGAGGGGGGGGGGAGAGAGAGGGGGGGGAAGAGAGAGAGAGGGGGGAGAAAGAGAGGGGGGAGAGAGAAAGAGAGGGAAGAGGGTGAGAGGGAAGAGAGAAGGACAGGGAAGTGAGAGAAGGAGTGGGAAGAGAGAGAGAGGGAATAGAGAGAGAGAGGGAAAAGAGAGAGAGGGAAAAGAGAGAAAGAGAGAGAAGAGCAAGAGAAAGAGGGGAGAGAGGGAAGAGAGAAGGAAAAGAGAGAGAGAAGAGAAAGAGAGGGAGAAAGTGAGATAGGGAGAGAGAGAGAAAATCATATATACATATACACACTTACTGAACTCTCTCGCTTTCTGATGGGGGGGGGGGGGGGCACAACATTTTTGTGTTGCCTAGGGCAGCACAACATCTAAATACACCACTGCCTGCCGCCTTGTAGCAGTATATCTGCTATAGGGCGGCGGAGAAGCGATTAATTGTAAAAAAACAAACAAAAATAAAATACTACAAGCACATCTGTTGTCTCTACTACAAATATAAAGACATCAATTTAGTAATTAGTTTTGCTCTCCATGGGAAATGTTCCGGGCATGATACCAGCTGAAAAACTGAAACATGTTGTCCTTCTTTACTCAGAAAAAATTGGCACATAGCAAATATAGTGTGTGACAGGTACAAATGTACCTAACCTTTGCTTTGTCTTAGTGATTGTGTGTCATCCTCTGTATATCATTTAAATCTTGATAAATAATCAGAAAAATAGTGAATTGTGATTGTTTTAATTCTCCTGAATCAACAGTTTAGATTCCTGAATTGCATAGGTGTCTGTGGAATGGACAAATCCGCAGGCACATCTTTAAAGAAATCAAAAATGAGTTGAAAGCCACTTGCTCCATGTAAAATTATAGAGTCATATTAAAAATGTTTTTAATAGTCAACACTGCAGTATTATACTTTCCCTTTTGTGTTTTTTTTTTATCAATATATCCTACTATGATAACTCTCAGCACACTGTAATGTGTTTCTCTGGCCCTAATGTTTCAGAGAACACTCAAACCCCTTGTCATTTTTTTTTCTCCCTGCCTGTAATCCTTTGGGGAGATTTCCCCTTGCTTCCTGCCTTTGAGACACAACAAATAGAGAGAGTGAACCTCTGCAGTGGGAAAATATGCTGGAGGTTTAACCCCCTCCTAAATCCAAACAAAAATGTTTGGGCTATTGATACATTTTAATATTTGTATTTAGTCATTAGTTCATTTTCATTATATATATCATTATATATATACAGTATATATCGTTACGGAAACACTGTACATTCAGATACTGCTAGACAGACTTTATATTTATTCAAGTGTATACCCAGCTAAAACGTTCTTGAATTTACTTAGCCATTTGAGTGCAGTTTGAGTCTGTTGTAAGAAAGCATTCAAAGTTGTTCAGTAGTAGTGATCACCAGGTAGGAGAGAAAATCAGTAATCCAAGTGAATGGAAAGGTGGATTATAAAAAATTTTTAGTATTTGAGGTCTACTCTCATACTCAAAATACACAGAAAATAGTCAGTTAGAGTATCAGCTGCTTGTCTCCAAAACTGTATCATTCAAAAGAAGAGATACCCCCTTGGGACTTTAATGCAGCTAAAGTATACCACAAATATAGCGATATAGAAAAATACTTGATAAAATAACGCAAAAATCCTTTAAACTCATCACATACTGTATATACTAAAACCCCTATAATAGCTCTAACAGAATGGTTATACATAATCCCCATATTGGAACAAATATCATTGAACTGCATAAAAGTGCTGACGCGTTTCGATCATTCCAATTCAAGATCTTCTTCAAGGGCAAAAGAAGATGAGATTACTAAATAGATACACATAAATAATATATCACATACAATGAAAAATTCATATTCATATATCATTACAACCAATAACAACAATGTATCTTCCACTATACTTCCAAAGCAATAGCTTGAAAAATATTCGCCAGTCAGAGCATCTAAAAAACTACAATATCCGTCCTTCGGAGGTACACATACACCATATGGGACAACCCAAGATATCCAAAAAAGCAGGCAAGGAAGTTTCAAGCTGCTAAAAAATTATAAAAATGCCCATAATAAACAAAATATAAATATGATAAGGGTATTATTCTTCCTGGCTGTCTGCTATAAATTATGCACTAACCTTGATATTCAAGGGAGAATAAAAGATGAAGGCACATTGTTCCTCTTAAAATAAAAACATAGATAAATTGTCTACTGATGAAAAATGTACTCAACAAGCAAGTCATTAAGAAAGAAGAATAGAATGGAAACAGCTGAAACTGAGCTTTTGGCGCCATCTTTAAAAATCTGAAAGCATTCAAAAACACAGATCTTGGTGTTTTGATTGCTTTCAAGTGCAGAAGAAGGATTTGGAGTTTCATAGACCCGTGTCACGTGTCTATTGCTGTCACAGGGGATGTTTACATTCCTTGTCACAGCAAAAAAAAGTGCTAAATAAAAAAAAATTAAAAAAAATCAAATAACACCATTTGTCGCTGTTGCATGGGCGTGCGCAATTTTTAAAGCGTGATATGTTGCATATCTATTTACTCTGCATAAGATCAGATTTTATATTTTACAAAAAATGGGTTATGTATTGTGTTTTTTTCTTGCAATCAAATTTTAAAAAGTGTATTTTTTTCCCAAAAATTGCATTTGAAAAACCACTGTGCAAATACCGTGCAACATAAAAAATGCAAAAAACACCAATTTATTCTCTATGACCTCTGCTTTAAAACATATATAATGTTTGGGGGTTCTAAGACATTTTCTAGCAAAAAATACTTATTTTAAAAATATTAACAAAAAGTGCCAGACAGGGCCTAGAGCTAAAAACATGGAACCAGAACAGTATTGCACTACTTGAGGAAAAACAGCATTTTACAGAATATCAACACTTATTCACTATGAGAATATTAGAGGTCTCACGCTTTGTGTTTTGAATTAGGGTGTGTTTTTTGGCACTCCAGGGATTCTCGCTTTGCTTGTCTTGTGGAACTCAAAGTTGAGGTGAAGTCAGGAATAATTTCTACCAAGTCTAGGCCCTCTTCCACTGTAATAATAATATGGAATTTGCTATCACATGCCACAATAAGGGTATTCTGTTATGTCTGTGAAGCTCTCAGAGAGGACCTGAGATTTTCTGACTGCTCCCAACATATGCTCAAAATTAATGCTTGCAAGAACATTTCTGGGTAACTTATCTGAGAAAATGAGACCACTTAGTCTGCAAATCTGAGCCACAATCAACTCACTAGGAGGTAGCTCTGGCAAGGCCTTCAAGGTCAACTTGAGCAGAAAAAAAAAGCATTACCTTGACTTTCCCAGTAATTCAAGTATGCCCCTAAATTTAACATTATTGCAATGTGAATGGTTTTCCAGAGGGAGTTTGGATTTGAATAAAGTTATAGTGTCCATTTATTGTGAAAATCTACTCATTCATGGTAGATGCAAAATCACTCATCTTTTACACAACTCAAATTGATACATAAGAGTCCACAAATGTAGAGAGCTTCCCAAAGATATCAGTATATTTGTTGTGTGGTGTCTAAGAGAGGCTGGCGTAGTATAGTGAGGTAACTAATAGTATCCTAAAGCCCTCTGGTGTCCTCAAGTGACAGATTATATTTTGTCACCTATAAGTCAAATTGCTTTTTTGTGGAGATATACAGCCTTGTCTTTGCTAGGCTACTAGTAGAAGATGAAGCTGGGGATGTAGGTCCTCTGTGCTGAGAGGTCTGTTTTTCTATGCCCCTGCATGCTGTTCAGGTTTCTGCTGCAGTTATCTCCCTTCACATAGGAGTTTTTAAATACAAACTGAGGGGACACTCCTCTGACATTTTGGCTGGCTTATGTGGCAGATGATGGGCAGAATTTTGTCAGTTTCTCCTCCAGTCTCTAGCAGTCCTTTGACTTCAAGAACATACTTGAAAGGTGCTGTGATGTAGTATAAGTCT